ACACACACACACACACACACACACACACACACACACACACACAAGAAAAAAAAACCCACACATCAGACTACACACTAAACACGTGGACTCTGTCCGAAACCCTGTCGGCCCCATCGGCTCTCGGAGACAAGCTGACCCAAATCTTCCTACCTCGGGCTCTGCACACAGAAATGAACAAGTTTCAGGAGCTAAATAACCCCGTGTGCAGGCGCGTCCCAACCCCTGAAACGCTTCCAGTGCACTTTCCCATTCCGAGCAGTGTGAGCAGTGGGGAAAGTGGGAAAAGGTGAGAAGCAGGGGGAAGAACCTCGAGAAGGGGTATCTCATGGGTTGCCTCCCTAAAAGCCGAGGCTTGCCTCACTCACCTCGGGGAAGCAGTCCTTGGCGAAGACGTGCAGCAGCGCAGTTTTCCCACACTGACTGTCTCCCACCACTACTATCTTGCATTTCACGTTCTGGTTAGGATCCATGATAGATTTACTGGATAGTTTCTGGCTGGCTCTTCTCTCCTTCATTGATGTTGCCTTATTTTCTCTTGGAACAGGAATTTTCTCTTAAGAAGAAAAAATATATATTTCTCTATATATAAAAAGCATATATAAAAATAAATCGCAAGGCTAGTGGGAACCCCTGAAGCGCAACGCGGACGAGGAGGAGAACGAGAAGAGCCGGCTCGTTACTCCCCTCCAACAAGTTTTATGCCTGACTCCACACCGCGCCTCCCAAGTCCAATTCCGATCTGACTGCTTTGTTTCACGCTCTCTGCGCGGCTTTATACGCCCAGCCTTCCAATCCTCTTCTTTCTCAATGAGAGAAGGAAACTGATCCGCCTCCTCCCCTTTTATGGAGCCTGGGAGCGAGCGCTGTAGCGTTGCTTGCGGAAAATGTAAGCAGCGCGCCCTCTAGGGTGGCTGTACAGAATGGATCTCAGAGCAAAGCTCTGGGACAACTAGAAGACCCCAAGTAGGATTTTCTGAACAAGTACAGAAGGAGGCTGAAAATGGATATCTGTGCACATCGATTTGTACTAGAATTCCTTTAAAGATGTTTTCATAAGTGATCTTCTCCAGAAGCCTCATGAACTTTTTTTTGTGAGAACATAAGTATTTCCCATTAAAGTCAAGGCATAGTTACAAAACATAGGAAGCAAATTTTGGGTGCCAAAGGGTTAAATGGTTGTATTACAAAGAAAATTAAAAGGTCAGTGTCAGGTACTTAGGCCATGGAACAATAGCTAAGCCAAGCTGTTTCAGATGCAAGAATTGGTTTGCTGGGTCACAGTAACAGGCTGGCTTCTGAAACCTGGCAATTTCAGTCGTTCAAGAGAAAGCAGAAAGGTTTGCATGAGTGGGAAGAGGGAGTGGGAGGGGAGAAGAAAGAGAGGCAGAAGATGCTTATAACTGAGGCCACTGGAAGCAGCCTTACTGCACTAGGGACCAAATACACAGTGTCAGTCTTCTGCCCACCCCTGCCCTTGGACCTCTCTGCCTTTCATTCCTTCATCTGTAGCCACCAACTGCCTTGGAATCAAAGCACTCTCAGAGGGATTCAGAAGACCCACATACCCTTAGATGAAAAACTCAAGTTCAACTCTCCAGCCCTCTCCACCTCTCCTCCACATCCATACCTCTAGTCTTCCAAACTCTTCCTCCCAGCAAGAGCCTCAGAAGGACCAAAATAGCCCACAGATTTTGTTCTCTTTTTTCCTCTCTGTGAAAACTCATCTTCATCTCTTGTATCCCACATGGTCATGAGGTTTCAGTTATTAAATTGTAATAAGGATATTGGCCCAAACTAATTTATAGATCCTCCTATGGAAATTTCTGGGCTTCTAAATGAGAAGGTAAGGTGGAAAAAAATGTTCAGTGTGGGTAGTGGAAAGACACAATGAAGGGTAGTTAAAACCTTGATGTAAATAGGAACAGCTAGGACCAAGAAGTGTAGGGCATCCTGGAATGGTCTCTCCCTTCCATTCAGAGCTGAGAACATTGGAGTCTCCCCTGAAAGGACAGTCCTGACTTTAACTGGATTGATGGGTTTGTTTCACACAGGTGTAGACCCACAGAGAAGGAAGTTGCTGGCGCTTCTGGGGTTTTCTAGAGCATCATTTGCTGGAGTTGCTTTGAAGAGCTTTAGCCCTCTCCTCACACAAATGGTCCCCTAGGCAGTTTGTGAGGAAAAACTGCCCATATTTCCCATGAAGACTTACCAGGCACTTAGATTTGTTAGGGTCATGAAAAAGTCCTATAGAAAAGTGGCCCAGTGAGAATGTAACCACCTTTTGACCTAGATATCCCACCCCTCGGTCTATACCCAAAGAACTTAAAAACAGCATACTACAGGGACACAGCCACATCAATGTTTATTGCAGCACAATTCACAATAGCTAAACTGTGGAACCAACCTAGATGCCCTTCAGTAGATGAATGGTTAAAGAAAATGTGCATATATGCACAATGGAATTTTACTCAGCAATAGAAGATAATAAAATCATGGCATTTACAGGTAAATGGGTGGAGTTGGAGAATATAATGCTAAATGAATGAAGTTAGCCAATCCCAAAAAACCAAATGCCAAATGTTTTCTCTGATATAAGGAGGCTGATACATAGTGGGGTTGGGAGGGGGAGCATGCAAAGTTTAGATGAACTCTAGATAGGGCAAAGGGGAAGGAGAGGTGGAGTGGGGGCCAGGGGATAAAAATGATGGTGGAATGAGATGGACATCATTACCCTAAGTACATGTATGAAGACACGAATGGTGTGAATATACTTTGTATACAACCAGAGATATAAAAAAATGTGTTCTGTATGTGTATTATGAATTTGTAATACATTCTTCTATCATATATAACAAATTAGAATAATTTTTTTTAAAGTGGCCAGTGAACATAGTTTCAGAACTAGCACTTCCCAAACCTACTTAAGCACAGGAAACTTTTATCAAGTTATTTACATGTTCATTTGAGAAGTAGTGGGCATAAAGATTGGGGCAGGCGATCACAAGGAAGTGTAGTTGGATCTTGAGATTCACATATTCTGGTTATGTGACATTGGGTGAATTATTTAACTTCTGGAAGCCTCTATTTCATCATCTTGAATATAGGAGTTATAATAGTATTTATGAGGAAATGCAAATGAGGCTTGCATAACAGTTTCTGGCACAATAAAGAGCTCTGCACTTATATTTCCCTGTCACTCTTACTTGCTTTTCCCAGAACCGCTGAACACATCTTGGGGAATCCTATTTTCATTTGTGGATTTAGTCATTGGAATTGGCCCCACCTCATCTTCTTTCACATTTTTGACTTGTGAAGTTGCTTCTTTCCAGAGATAGGACTTGACCTTTCATATTCCTTTACTGTTGTGGCCTGTGTGGTTAAACCACTCTGACTAGCATTAATAGTTATTTGTTTTGAATTGAATGATAGGTGAATACAGTAACCACATAATTTATTATCTAAGCTGGCTTACTTTGGCAAGCAAATGGGGCATTACCAATGGTTACAGCAGGAACACAGATGTAAAAGGGTCTGTCCCAGGCAAGACCAGAAGCATAACCGCCTCACTGGTGAATATAATCCCAAATCATAGTGGATGACTGCACTTGTCAATCAGGTGACCTGAATCTCTAGGAATCTGCCAGTTGCTGAGTGAAATTTGATGAATGCATTATAGAGTAGGAAAACCAATGGCCTAAAGTCACTAGCTTTGAGTCTTTCTAGGGTAGGAATTCTTTGTTTCTTTGTGGGTTTTTTTGTTTTGTTTTGTTTTGTTTTTGATTCTCTAGCACTCAAAGTGTGATGTATATTTAATACATATTTCTGAAGCACTTAACATTCAGTTTATCAGTTATTTACCAAGTATCTGCTACATACTAGGTACTGTTCCAGGAACTACAGATATAGCAGTAAACATGCCAGACCTGTTTTCTGCTCTCAGAGAACATACATTCCAGACAGAAGATAAACAATATATGAGGAAGCAAGCACATAAATAAGAAGGAACGTGCTAAGCTCCGTGAAGAAAAAAAAACAGGGTGGAATGATAAAGTACACTAGAGTGTGGCAGTTGGATCCTAAGGCCTGGCAGTGCCTCTATATGAAGTTGAGTCTTTTAATGATGGGGACAAATCAGCCATGAGAAGGCCCAGCAGGAGGATACTCAGGCAGGAAACAGACCATGGAAAGGTTATGTGGAAGGAAGAGTTGGCAGCATTGAGGAACAGAAGGAAGGCCAGAATGGCTGAGGTCCACTGAAGGAGGGGAGCAGAGGTGGGGACAGAAGGATGAGCAGTGGCTGAATGACTGATCCTAGGATCTGGACTTGATTCTCAGGGCAATGGGAAGCCAGAAGCTGGAAGGCCTGGAGCAAGGTAGCAGCATGATCCCACGAACAAATGAGTGAATGAATGAATGGCTAAAGTTCTAGGTCTGCATCGGTCACTTACTAACTGAGCCATCTTAATGAAACTGCTCATCTTCAATGAGACTATGAGATCCAAATATGCCAAAAGTCCTAGAGAAGACTGAAATTTCAGACTGCATTGAAAAATTTCCCCTAAGAAATTCATTTATTTGTAAGATATAAAGCCCCATCTGGGGGAATCATGTGTTGCCTAATGGTCTTCCTTTTGTTAGTCCTCCTATTTGTTTTTGTCTTCTGATTACTCTCTCCTTTCTTTGATTTACCCCTAAGACCAACCGAAGAGAAAATCAACAGCAAACATTTCTATATGGTGTTGTTAATATTGCATAATCAGTTTCCCCAAAAGACATCAGCTTAAAAATTATTCTTTGCAATGAACCCTTTAATTATTAGGGGAAATCATCCTCTTATGGAAAATTCATTCTCTCTGACACAAAGAAGGCTGATCCCAGGCCTGGAGGAAAGGCTAACTGAGAGATCCCCCACACAGAGGACTCATAAACAACAGCTCTGTGTTCTCTCTTTGAGCACTGGACTACAAGTCAGGACGTGGGTTAGTACAGGTTGAACCAACACACTGCCTGACCTTGGGCAAGCCCAGAATTCTCTTCCTTTGTTTCATCCTTTGGGTGGGGGGATTCTATCTGCCTCCTTAAATTGCACAATAAGGCAGCTTAGAAATCCATGTCCCATCCTTTCAAATATTCCTCTTTAGATGGACACTACAGACATCTTTCTTTTCAAAGTCAGTGTCTTCACAGAGATCTCAGCTCACAGTGGAATACTGTAAGGCATAATCTGACTGTTTGTTCTTGGTTGCCTGCCTCTCCTCATATTCTAGCACAAGTGTTTGAAGAAGCAATTACACAATGAGGAGAAGGCACAGGTCACTTACCGACAACATCAGCAAAGCAGAGAGAAAACTGATGCAAAAACAAGAAATCTGGATGCCTTCGTAGACATTATGTCAGAAAATGTGGATGTGAGTCATGGGCTTTCTCTGAGAATTTAGTAAGATGATTGATATTGGATAGTTTTAAAAGCATAAAGATTAAGGGCAAGGGTATAAAACAAACTCTGTACTTAATGGTGGCATTTTCATAGTTGTCTTTTTGGGGGGCATGATCAGAAGAGGGTGATACATTAACTAGCCTTATACAACACCTATAAACCAAGAGGGTACTTCTCCCCTCTGCACCTAAGAAAGAAGAAATGAGAAAAGGAGGTTCATAAAATTCAATAGCTTGAACTCGCTATTTGGGAAGAATTTGTTCTCTTGGAAGGGAATCTTTTATTTTCTCTTAAAATTAGGCCTGTGTCTCCTGCTGAGGGCATTGATCAGTTGTCTAGCCTATATGTAAGAGTCTTCCAGTTGAAGTAT